CAACCAGTGCGTTTTGCCAGTGATGACCTATGGATCTAAGACGTGGTCCTTCACTGCCGGCCGTATGAAGATGCTCAAAGTCACTCAGCTAGCTATAGAGAGGGCTATGCTCGGATTTTTTCTGTGTGATAAACTTACGAATGAGGTTATCAGCAGTAGAACCAGAGTAACCGACATAGCCCAACAGATTAGTAAGCTGAAATGACAATGGGCCGGCCACATAGCTCGAAGAACCGATAATCGATGGGTAAAAAAGGTTCGCGAGTGCCAGCCTCGTACCAGCAGGCGAAGTGAAGAGCGTCCCCCCACTAGATGGAGTGACGACCTGGTAAGACATGCAGGAAGTCGATGGATGCAGGTGGCTCGGAATCGTGTTTTATGGCATTCCTTGAGGGAGGCCTATATTCAGCAGTGAACTTGTGAAGGGTTGTAATGATGATGATGATTACAGCATTATATTATATTATATTGACATACAAAACATTGGTCAAAGGTATTTAACAATCTAAGATCTTATTTTGTTAGGAATGAGTGAAATGAACTTATTTTATATCTTATTTTTTTATCGTTTAGCTTAGTTGTTTTCTGCAATGTCAGCCTCGCTGATCTAGTAGTCATAAAAGCGACTGTTCTGCGTTTAATTCCCAGACCAAAAGAAATAATATGCTGAGTTTTTCTTTTAGAAACCTTCTAGTAGCACCCCGGAGTCAAGGAAATACGTAGGTCTCTCAATAAGTTTTGAGATGCTCGAAATTTAAAAATGGAACGCACTCGTGTTATATGTTTCTAAAAAGTAAATTTATATAAAAATAGAACACCATAAGTTAATTGCTCAATATTAAAAAAAATAGTACCATTAATTTTCCTGCAACGCTTTCCGCGCTTTTGATTTAAAGCGATGGATTTTAACCGAGAACATTTGCGCGCTGTGATCTCTTATGATTTTAAATTTGGTTTAAGTTTATAAGTTTACAATCAGCATAAAGGCACTCAGCTTCATCACGCGCAACAATTTTTAAATGGTTAACTAAATTCAAAAGGGGTATAATTAACCTTAAAGATGACCAAAGAACCGCAAATAGTACTAACGGCAGAAAATTTATGGACTATACTGAAATGTTGGTGCGAGAAGATCCACGAATCACATATACGGACATCGAAAAGATTGTAGGCATTAGTTCGGGGAGCATTCGTACCATCTTGGAGTGAGGAAGCTTTGCTGTCGATGGATCCCTCGTTTTTTCTCTGAAAGCGAAAAACAGATTGGTGCCATGAAATACGTCTAAATTTTGAAAACGGGGCATCTAGGCGCGTTTTAGAAATTATTACTGATGACGAGACATGGATCTATCAATATGATCTGGAAAATAAAAGGCAATCATCGGTATGGGTACTACTCAGAAGGACAGTTACCGACAAAACTGCAAAGACTTCGCAACGTCGGCAAAAAAAATGGTGGCTAGTTTTTTTTGTGGAGCGGACATTTGTCGACGTCAATGCTGGAAAACTGTAGTTCAATCAACTCTAAATGGAGAAGACCAAAGCCCGGGCTTCGGGGAATCATGTTGCATCACGATAACCCCTCTTCACACCTAAGAACAAAAGCATTTATTGAGGAATCTGATGTTGAAACTCTAAGTTACCCAGCCTACATCCCCGAGTTAGCTCCTTGTTATTTCTTTTAATTCTCAAGAGTCAAAGAAAAATAAAAGACAAGTTGTTTTCAAGCGCCGAAGAAGCCGTAGCTGCCTACGAAGAAGCAATTTCCGACCTGTCAGATCAAGATTGGCAAAAGTGTTTTCAGAGTTGGTTTAGGCGAAAGGAACTTTGTATTTTTTTTATAGGAGAGGAGACAAACGAGCATACGGCTCACCAGATGGTTAGTGATTACTGCCGCCCATGAACAGTTGCAACACCAGGGGAGTAGCAGGTGCGTTGCCAGCCTTTTAAAAAGGAGTAGGCTCTTTTCTTGAAGAAACCCTAAGTCGTATTGGTCCGGAAAAATCTCTGGTGGTAGCTGATTTCACAAGGAAGTTCTGAGAGGAAGAAAACTTCTTTTAAATCGCTTAGTGGTGGACCGCCAGTCATCCAGATGGTATGTATGGTATCGCGAGTTTTGTCGCGATGTACGATGGTGAAACTGTGCGGCTGGAATTAATCCGAACAATTCCTCAGAGTACTCCTCAATATATATGATATGCAACATCTCTTCGCAGTGCCAGTGAGCAAGCCGATCGGAAAGAGCTCGGTTGCCGACGATTCGAACTGCTCTGCGCTGGATGCCATCAAATGGAAAGAGCTGGCACTGAGGAGCCCCGACTCAGAGATTGGAACAGTATTCCATGTGCGGCCAAACCTGAGCCTTGTAAATTGCAGGCGGTGAGCCGGCATTAAATACTGTCCCGCCCTTCCGAGCACGCACAAACTTTTTAGAGGTCAATTTGGCCTGCTCTTCCAAGTGAACACGAAACTGCACGTCACTCGATATGTCGACGCCGAGGATTCCGATACTGGCTGAGGCAACAAAGGGAGTGCCTTTAAACTGAGGAGATACGATGAAAGGGTTCTTTTTGCGGTAAACGCGCAAACTTGTGCCTTCTGGGGATTAAACTGGACTAGATTTAGTCGCCCCCAGTCCGAAATTTTGTTCAACAAAGTCTCGACTTCAGACATAAGTTTGTCCCGGTACTCGGCGATGTTTTCCCGAGAAATATTGGCATGGCCGGTGTATAAAGCATCACCAGTGCTGTCGTCTGCATAGCAATGAATATTACCGATTTGCAACGTGTCATTGATACGCAGAAGAAAGATCGTTGGTGATAGCACGCAGCCTTGTGGAAAACCAGCGTTAATCCAATATGATGCAATATTTATTTTTAATTTCGTAGACGTGTAAATTTCCTCACGGTGTTTTCTTTCATTGAAATTTAAGGAGTTGATTGAGATTTAAACCTAGCCGAAGCTAATTCAGAGATCAATCAGATTCTCGCCGCACCAGATCGACCACTACCGCTAAGTGTCATATTTTTAGCAACATAGATGATCAATATATTATTACTTATTCAAATTATTAAATTACGAGTATTAGGTTATAAAAAACTAATAAAGAATATTTTATCGCATATAATACCTTTTTTGAATTTTTTGTGCTGCTTCTTTCTTACTCTTTCCATCGAACTAAAAATAAAAATGCTTTTTAAAATAGACTAAAATCTGTGTTTCCCTCTCGTAACATATCGTATGAACAATTTGTGGAAGCGCCTAAAGCGCTGAAAATGAGAAAAGATTTTCAAGCCGAAAGCGAACGGAATGTGGTCAAGTTTGATGGGCGTGAGTACCAATGCGATGTTTGAATTTTCTTGGCATTACTTTCGATGCACAGCCTTAGTGAGGCTCAAATATATCCAAACCAACGCGACAAGCCGCAAATAAACAGAAACGAGATTAATTTAAGTTTTAAAGACAAAAAAAAAAAAACTTAAAAAAAAAATAAAATCGAAAAACAAAGGTAATTTCAGTAAAAAACGTGGTAAACGTGGTAACTGAGTGTATCTCAGTAAGCACTAGAAACAAACCCATACTAGTGATACCAGTTTCTCGACACCACAGAGTCAATAATTCATTTTTGGCTATTACAACAAACTACCAGAAAACATTACTCTCTATTGCCAAGTTTAAATATTTAAATAAACAAAAACTATATAAAAAGGGTTATTATAATATTAATGAATACAATCATAACCCTAGGTCGATAATAACCCTAGGGAATGTGGTGGTCACTTTCAAGCTGTTTCTAAAATAAATTTTGTAAATATTTTGTAACCATTCATATTGTAAAATTTATTTTAAAAGTCCCGCTGTGTTTCTTGATTCATCCAGGGACAGATATTTTTCCAAACCAGTGGTAATTAAAAAAAATGACTAACTTATTCTATTCTATTCCATCAGCACTTGACCAATATGAAAAGAAAATGTCCATTTATTAATAATATATGTACAAAGTAAAAAGAAATGAACACCAACCTGCACTTTATCTCGAACAAAAAATGGTGCATATTATTACCCCTGAGGTCTAAGTTAGAGTATCACAGGGCTCTACTCCCAATATTTGAACAAAACAATGAGTGTACTGCTGCGGTTTAGCGACAGATACTCATAAAACGGTTGTATTTATCCAGGCGGACTTCTTAGATAGAATGAAGTAAATTTATTTTTATTACTGCATGGGAGGCCTTTTTCTGTATATAATAATTGGACATTGCTTCAAACAGTCTTATACATAAACCGTGGCTGTCCTTGATTATAGATATATAATCACAGTTAGTGAACCTGTCTATTGGATCATTACAATTAAGTAGCTAGAAAAACCAGAACCGTAAAATTTATATATTTAATGGCGTTTGTGTGTTATTTTCGCATGATATATCGCACCTCCGATAAAATAGTGTTACAACTCGAAAAAGTCGAATTTTGAGTTAAATATACAGAAATACTTAAAATTTTATGAACTATCTTCTCCAAAATGGTTACATCTGTAACTCTAAAACTCGCCGCTAGATGAAGTTGTAAACGGTACATGACTATAGCATTTTGACTCGAGAATGATCTCTATTATAATAGTGTCACATTTAGTGTTATAAAAGGTAGACGTGCGTTTGTTTAGACAAGAAGTGTTACATATCAAAATACAACAGTGTTTTAGACGGGTAAAATATTTATGCTTACATCAATTTGTCTAATGAACAGTTACAAGTCGAATTATTATAGTTTATTGTTCAAGAATTGAATCAAACTAGCTCAAAAAAAAGTGATATATTTTGTATTGTATCAGTTTATGGATGCGATTTATTGTAATTTTGTTTTACTTTTCACGTTGTAACAGTATTTGACGAAAATTTATATTTTTTGTCTGAATTTTTCGATTTGTAACCTTGTTTTTACAAAGTTTAGGTATTTTCGAAATATTTGCTGTGAATCTGATTTATGATTCTAGGGCCAAAATGAAACGTAATGACGTAATTCTGCTTTTAGCTCTAAAGGATAAAAGAAATATACCCGCCGATTATTTTCAAAAGATTGGGGGAACAAACTTGCAAGGTACGATGCCTACTATACTTACCTACTTACCTTACCTACCTGTTTTTACCAGGTTATTTTTGATTAAAACTACTTTTACGGACTTTATCGCGTTTATTTTACTATTATTTTTAATTCCCGACGTTTCGGGCGCTTTCCAGCACCCATGGTCACGGGGGACTGAGATGACTGACGTCCTGATGTCATTTTTAAACCCAGAGTACCTTCAGCTTTTTTAATTATTGTTTATGGTCCGATCTATACAAAATGATACTATGTCCTGAGGTCTTGCAGTGGTATGCTTGGGTTTAGTTTTAATTTTATTGATTATAGGATCCCAAGCAGGTGGTAGTACCCAGCCTCCTTCTCTATTGAAATTAGGATGTTTTTTAATTTCAATAGCCTCACGTATCATTCTTGGTAGGAATCGGTGTTCTTTCGCGAGGATTTGTGGTCTATCAAATCTGATGTAATGGTTGGGGCTGTCTAGGATATGATCGCAAACTGCAGACTTCCCGGAACGTCGATGCTTCACATCAGCTATATGTTCTTTTACGCGGGTTCTAATTGATCTTTTTGTTTGTCCTATATAAGAGAGACCACATTCACAATCAAGCTTGTACACTCCTGCATCTTATAGAGGAATATGACACTTGACTGATGGTAGGAACTGACTAATCTTCTTCGGCGGCTTGTAGAATGTTCTAATAGAAGCTCGCTTCAAGATGTAGTCAATCTTGTCTGTGACACCTCTGACATATGGTAATACAGCCTGCTGCTGCTGAACGAACTAATTTAAGCGCCTAACTCTATGTAAACAAGTGAATTTCATCATAGGTTCGTGTTAATATTTTTTTCAGAATCAAGAGAAAAATTGGATTTTGATATTATTTACAATCTATCAGAAACCGGGAAAATTGACTTCGATATACCACAATGTAACCTCGCAAGAGCTAATCAAGATTTCATAGCTGTTCCCGAAGCTGAGAGTGAAAAAGGTTTTTTTTATCGTGCAATCGGAGCAATGATGGCTCTAATTTTGATGACTGAAACGATGTGCTAATTTAAAAATGTGTTTTACAGAAAATAAGACAAGAATTAATTCCAGCAAGAACACTACGGAATTTGAAACACTGTTATCTCCAAGTGAACATTTCAAAAGCTATCCCATCGAGAAATTTATTTTCGATTTGCCAAATGATCTTCAGACTCAATGTGAAAAATATGGTAGTATTTTATTGTGCAATTGATATAAAAGTTGCCTTTGTTTAGTAAGTCATTATAATTGTTGATTCGATTTTGCATTTACAGATATAACAATAATTAATTCTGCCACTTATAACACTGAAGTGATACCATCTACAAGTTCAATAGAAGTTAAAGACCAGAGTTCCAAGCAAATCGAGAAGCCTATTGATGACTCTTCAACCGATTCTTCTTTAGATACAGAAAGTCATGTTCTTCAGACACTTCTAATTCTACTTCAAATGAGGATAGTGATGATTCGGTGAAAGATCCAGATTTTCAAATTGAGGAACGTCGTTCCATTAAAATCTCTGACGATTCCGAAACTGAAGACAAAGTTGGTAACCAAGCTAACTTCGAAGCTACACCTGCAGCTACATATTCAGTATCGACATTGTACTCAAGCCTAGATGACACTATACCAGACACAAAAAAACGAACCAGAAAACGTGTAGCTCAACCAACTGAATGGTTACAAAATAAATGTAAAATCCTCATAAATACAGGATCTGCTTACGTAACACTAAAAACAAAGGTGAAGAAGGATGCTAGAAAAATTAAACCACCGCGTAGCGAACGCTGTCAGTTAAAGTGCAAAGAAAAATTTTCAGAAGTAGATAGAGAAGCTGCTTTTAAAGAGTTCTGGGAACTTAAAGATATTAACCGCCAAAGAGATTTTATCAACATGCATATGGCGCCAATAAAGCGAAAATATAGATACACGACTACTCAAAAAGGGAATCAAATCATGCATTTTACTTGACCAAAATGGGATGTCAAATCCAAATCTGCAAGACATTCTTCATGAATACAATAGACGTCAATAATAGAGTAATACAGACTGTAATCAAGAAGAGGACATCTGCTGGTTCCGTTGAAGAGGACAAAAGAGGCAAACATCACAGTCATCACAAATTGCCTGATTGTGTTAAGGAATCTATTCGCAACCATATTAATTCAATCCCCCGCATCGAGAGCCATTATTTGCGACAGCAAACTGCAAGGGCAAAGGCAAGTTTATTGAGGGTGGAAAAACAATAGCTGATCTTCACCGCGAGTACGTAGAAGAATGTGGGCTTAATAATAGACCTCACAGCAATTATGTAATGTATGCAAAAAAATTTAACACAGAGTTCAATTTAGGTTTTTTTGAGCCAAAAAAGGATCGCTGTGAGCTGTGTGTTGCTTATGAAATCGCAGAGGACAAACAACATCTTTAACAGATATATGATCAACAGCTTTTGGGAAAGCAATTGTCACGACAGAAAAAACAGTGTGACAAAGATAACGCTTCGGAAACAAATACTATTGACATAACCTTTTATTCAGACAACTGCGGAGGACAAAATAAAAACAAGTTTATAATGGCTCTATACGCCTATTGCGTACTCAAATACGATAGACTGAAATCTATTACACACAAATTTTTAGTGACTGGACATACTCAAAATGAAGGCGATTCAGTGCATTCGGTAATTGAGAAATGCATTAAAAGGAGTTTAAAATCTGGCCCAATTTACGTGCCTTCTCAATATGCACAAATTATAAGAACAGCCAAAAAAACTGGGCCCCCATACTCGGTGAATGAGCTTTCATTTAATGACTTTATATCCCTGAAGAAGTTACATGCAGAACTACGTTTCGGTACGGGTAACATTAAATTGAAAGACGTCAAGTCGTTAAATTCAAAAAACACCTCGTGTTCTTTATTACAAGAACTCTTATGAAGACGAAGGATTTTCGGAAGCTAAAATTTGGCGAACCCACCCTGAGGTTCTGCCTGGACTAAAACCTGCTTACATCAGACAGCTTCAATAAGCGAAAGGAAGAAAGCTGATTTGATGAGTTCGATTAATAGTAATAATATACCACAGTTTTAAGCGCCTTTTAACAACCAATTGTAATTGAATAAATACCAGTAATTTTTTGATAGTTATGCATCCTAATTAAAACATGACTGAAACTTGAATTTTATCTGTGATTTTGATATACTGATGATTACAGTTCCTACTGAGTATAGTGTAACTTAATTAAGTACTACCTGAACTTGTACTGTAAAGTGATTCAATAAAATTGTGATGCCTAGAATAGTTTACATTTTTGTTTTAGTTAAAATTTTTGAATATTTATGTTAGAGTTGATTTTGTTACTATCTTACTATACTAAAGATTTTGGTACTAAGTCTATAGCTATATAAATATTGTTTAGTTGAAAAAAGTTAAATAACTGCCTAATTTTTATTATAATTAGAATTGTTACATTTGTCATACTGTATTTTTGTTAGTAAAAGTTCAAATAGTTATCTAAAATACTGTTACAATTAGGAATTTTCAGGTAATTTTTCAGGAAATTTGAAAAATAGCTTATGTCATTTAAACATATTTTGTGTAAGCTTTTCAATTATATATAATTTGTATCAATTTATACTAATACTACAAGAATAAAGACTGTATAACGAATCCATGAGTTTATTTTCGCTTTTCTAAAGATCCAGGTTTTTCAAGTTGTAACCCTATTTTATCGAAGGTGCGATATTAGTGTATGTATCGGTGTATGAGTTATCACATTAAATTCCATTGGATTTTGAAATACTAAGTTGCAGTTCTTAAATTAGGAACTGAATTGAAGTTTGTGGGAAATCACAGATTGCTAGTTTTGGATTTGGATGTGATGTGATAGCCCCCGTTTCCCTACATTTTGGTCTATCTATTGTTTTCCGGAATAAACCAATGAATTGTATCTGGAGGCTGTCGCTGTACCCAATGTAGACAATAATGACTTTATTATAATCAAAATCATCATTAAGTGTATAACATAATATATGAATATTCTTAGTTACGGGCGATTAGGCATCTTTGATCGCAAAAAATTACAGCTATAAAGCGATAAGATCATGACTGAAATAGTTTGAAATAGTAACAATTTTAAAACGATCTTGGACTGCTTCAACTCATACCATCATAATGAAATGAATTAAAGTTTTGCAGTAAAATTGGCAAAAAAAGAAATAAAAGGGCTTAAGCAGTAATATAAAATATAAAACATAATAATAGGCAAAAAGATAAAACGAAGTATTTAATAACATCATAAAAAACCCCAAAAATCTGCAAAAAGGACCGGTCTCAGTTACCAGTTTTCCGTAAAGAATTTATAGAAAGTTTCAGAAGGAATGTTTATTTGATAGAAGTTTACTACCAAAACAATAAATTTTATATTAATTATTTAATACAAAATGAAAAATATAAATACCTTTAATACTATATTAGAATACTTTATTTTTCACTTCGTGGAAATATGAAATAACAGTTTTTTCAACTATTATGCTACTTCTAAATTTTTTATGATAATTCTCATGATTTACTTACGCTTTTCTCTTATCAACTAAGTTTTAATACATTTTATTTTGTTTATTAACAATGTATTATCAGTTTAAGATATAATACCAATCAGTTGCCTCCAACGCAGTTTTTTTTGATTTTTAGATTTTTAATTTTAATTTATGGTTTTTTATGTCACTGACCTAAGGAGCTGACTCGATTATTTTACTCATTTTCAACTAATATAAAAAAAGGCATTTATACTAATGATAGCATTACCATCGTGTCTTTCCCATGAACTCAACTTACTTTATAATTCCGTTTATAGAACATTGACAAATCTTAGACGCTAACCTTTCCACCTTTATACTATCTATTCTGGCAATGGTTCACCTTTTAGATCACATTATCGGTATTTTGTCTTTTATGCTCTTATAATAAAATACAGATATTTTATGTAATCTGCAGTTCAATATTTACATTATTTTAAACATTTTTCATGATTAAATTTTTTATTTCCTAAAAATAAAATTTACAATAGTCAAAATCAGCAAAAATATTACTATTCTCGCCCTTGTCTAATTATTGTACAATTTAAATCTAACTAGTAGTGACAGTAGTTGGATGAGCGCCTGTTGATGGTCTATGTTCATGTAGTAAACCTGAAAATGATATTTTTAATTTAATTAAGTGTGACCTTACTAATAGCTATTAATAACTCCTTGAGATTAACTTTTGCAATACTTTTTTGACTCTAGACAGGTTCCACCATCTTACTTGTTTCTTTCGACAAATAGCGATGCCCGCAATGTTATGTTCCGGTCTAAATAGTATAGAGATCCAGAATAATTACAAGATGTGAGGAATGTGAGGCATCATAGTTCTTAAGCGTGAGAACACATCTGTAGCCTTCTTTGTTTAAAGTTGGTTGTAGGTGTCCATGGACCGCAGAAGCCACTTACCATCAAGTGAACAGAAATTTGTTTTTCATTATAGTTTTAACCAAAAATAAAACAATAAATTTTGGGACCGCGATTAATTTCCATTCAATAAGGAATAAGAAAGATTGTCTCACACCGTGTTATTATATTATACCACGCCACGATATTTTTTGAATTTTAATTAAATTGATAGTTTATAAGAAGTAATTAAGTTACTTTTTATCATCATAATTGTCTACGGCGATTAAAAAAACTAACGTTTTTAGAACTGAAAATATCAATAATTAATTTACTATCATTGGTATAACTAAAAATTCTTCATAGATTTTTAGATACTTGATGAAATTAAATATATCCCTAGATTCTGTTGATGCGTTTAACAATAGTAATTTCTTATTAAAATATTTATTAAAAGTTAAGTTTGAAAAAAAAAAACACAAACAATAAAGTAATTAAGATTATTTTGGCATGCAGTTTACTCAGTGGTTAGCTATCTAGCAGCACCTCGTTTATAGGTGAATTACATGTCGTGTTCGACGGTGACGTGTCTTTCCTAGTTTATGAGAAGGTAGTGGAGTTGGAATTCTGTATAAACATTGATGGAGATAGTATAGTAATATAGAATGATGTGGATAAGGTGGGCGTGGGGTGTTCTTCGATTTAGATAAGACTCACTATTTTTATTTATATACGGATATTATTTAACTAATATTTAACCATCTTTAATGACTTTATGTTTTTTTATATAATAAGGGTAACAAATGAGCACACAGTCCACCTGTAGGTTAGTGGATGCTATGGCCCATAGACATCTACATTTATGCTCAATTAAGAATCAAAATGCAGATGCGTTGTCACTCCTGAGGACTGAGATGAAATGCCTAGTTTCCAGTAGAAAGGATCTCCGGTTCTCTACACTGACCATTTAAAACACAGCAGCATCAAGCTGCTATTTTACTGTTGAGCGTTTACTGCTGTGAGAGCGTGGTTCTGCCCAGTCGAGCTGACCTATTCCTGCTATAGGTATAATATAGCTGCAGCGTGGCTCTACCACTTAAAAAGTAAAAAATTTTGCCAAAACGAATAAAAACTCACCTGAATATAACCAAAGCGGGTATAGAGGATACTATACTAAGGATAAACACAGCTCCAGGTAAATAGTCAATTGTAGCGATATATATCCTGCTATATAGTGGTGCATATATTGCCGGCGTTAAAGCTTCCACTACACCAACCAGTGAATTCAATCTACCTAAAAATAAATATATAATTATTTAATTTTTTAGAGAGCATCAACAAACAATCATATTTAAAATAATTGCTTAAACATTTAATAATATTTTCGGTTTGGTTATATAGGTCGTTTACTTGTTTGTGACATCCCCCTGTAAACATAGGATAAGGAAAGGTGGTGTTATTCTACCAGAATTGGGATCTCTGGATTTGCAGGTAATCAGAGCGGTTGTAACGCAAAATAGTAAAATAATAAAATTACCGAAAGTGACTCAAAAATGTCAAGAATCCAAAAATAAAAAGCTTATGGTAAAATCTGTGCTAATTAATATCTGTAATATAAATTAGTATTAAATGCTGTTACGGATTGTTTAATCACTATATGATCGCATAAAAGATTTGAACATGAAAAATAAGTAGTTATATCCTCCTAATAATCCAACATACGCCCATTTGTTTCGCATTTACAATAATTAAATAATAAAATACGATCTCATTAGATTTATTAGTAGAAGTGTTATGCTGCATCTAGTTGTTTCTGATTAAAGTTAAAAGTTACAGCCTATACTTTAACTTTAATCAGATCACTGCTGAGCAAATGCCTTCTCCCATTTGTCCCTCCCGAAGTGTCCGCCGTGCTGCCCTAATGCGTGTTGGCGAACTTCACATGTCTTCGAAATATAATTTTTTTCTTATTTCTCTGACATACAGAAAAAAATAACCACGTAAAATTTCAATTACAAAATCATTGGTGCAGGCGGGGATCGAATCCAGGTTACTGGCGTACTGTGAAATTTACAGCGAGCGCTAACCGTCTAAGCTACAACGGCTCGGAATTTTCTAATTATCTATATATATAATAAAGCGGAAGAAGTTTTTTGTTTGTTTGTATAAACTCCAATCTATTTTGACAAATTATTTTTGTATGTGATAGCCAGATTCATGATAGTCTATCTAGATATACTTCTCATATAAAAATAAACGAAATTTGCAAATAAACAAAATATAAAAATATTCAAAAGCGTTATTATAATATTAAATAATTTGAGAATTACAATAACCCCTGAGAATAAGGGTAAGCAAATGCTATAGAGTTTCCTCATAAAACAATATCCTATGGGATCTTGCTAAGTGAAAATGAAATAAAAAAGAATAAAGGTGATATACGCGATTTACTCGTAAATTATTATTCAAATTATATTAAGTTACAATTTTGTTTCTCTGCTTCGTAAGTGTTAATCAGTATGTTGTATAACTCTGTTATCCGATAAGTGTGATGTTATATATTTTAAGTATATTTGTTAAAAAAGTACTATTGAGTTTCCTAATAAAAATAAAAAGAAACAAACACAAGCTAGTCATACTAGTTTCTCAGCTCCATAGAGTTAATGTTAATTCATGGGGAAATCTGTGCGCTGTTATAAAAAAGACCCAGAAAATATATGAGGTCTCCTTATTAATAAGTATAAATATTTTATTAATCAAAAACGGCATAAAACTAGTTATTATAGTACAAATGAATAATACATCGTTGATGATATCCCCTGGGAATGAGGTATTTGCTTCCATGCTGTTTCTCAAATATGATTCGTAAGTAGTTTATACCTATATAGTTTAATTTTACTTTAAAAAAATGTTGCGCTGAATTTCATACCAGGTCTTCCCAGGATGAAAGTTTTATTCTGTAAAAGTTAAAAAAACTTTTTAAATTTACTTCCTCACTTCAGCCCTCCAAAAGTCCACTGCTGCTAGTCTTAACAAAAACCTCTCCTAAGGAACGCCACAAAGCACGGTCCTGAGCCACCTACATGCATTAACTTCCTGGAAGTCTTACCAGGTCATCACACCATCTAGTTAGAGGTCGCCCACACCTCGCTTACCGGTACGAGGCTGCCACTCAAGAACCTTTTTCCCCCCATCGGTTGTAGGTTCTTCGAGCTATATGGCCGACCCCTTGCCCCTTCAGCTTACTAATTCTTAAGGCTATCATTTGTCTGATCTGAGATGTGGCCCTTCACTGCTGGCATATGAGGAAGCCCAACTTCCATTTTCCCCCCATCAGTTATCAGTTCTTCATGTTATATGGTCGGCCCATTGCCATTTTTTTTCCTTTGGGCTGTCTGGTCTGAGACGTGGTCTTTCATTGCTGGCCGTATGAAGAAGCTCAAGGTCGCTCAGTGAGCTCTTGAGAGGGCTATGCTCGGGGTTCCTCAGTGTGATAAACTCATTTGAATATCCCCAGTAGAATCAGAGTGACAGATTTAGCATAACTGATTAGTAAGTTTAAATGGCAATGGACCGGCCATATAAATCGAAAATTTACTTATTTGTAATTATTATTAGATAAAAAAATCTATTCTTATTCTGTGGCATTTCCAATTGTCGCTCTTTACAATTACGAGAGACAAAATGGGTTGATAGGTTTAATTACAAAAAACCATACAGAACTGTTTACTTGTAAGATTCACATTTTTTTTAAACGTTACCCCTACACTAAGATTTTCTCTTGTATTGTGGGGGCAGTTTACAAACATAAATTGCACAAGCACGAACATCCAGACCCGGAACAACTACTTGTAGGTCATACAAATACTTGCTCCGTGCGGGATTCGAACCCGCGACCATCAGCGCAGCCACTCAATGCTAAGCCACTACGCCACGGAGTCTATTATAGGAGAATATTATATTAGGAAAAAACGCGATTTTTTTATAGAATAAGGGTGAAAAACAAGTAGACTGTCCACCTGATGGTAAGTGGATTTTTGGTCCATAGATATCTTAATATACTATTAATATATAAATAAAATATATATCCTCGGATAAAAATAAAATGTAGATGCTGACAACGTATTTGAAATAATTTAACAAGATATTAGGTTACCTAGTTCTTGATGTGACACCAACTTCGAACAAAGAGATCTCAACGCAATAGTTGTCGTCCCGTATAACATTTCCAAGAGTGGATCTGTAGAAAGATATGTAATATTAATTTTTTTTAAAAGATTTCGTTCAACGTAAAACATTCATGAAGACCAGTGTTGAATTAGACCACAAATAAATAATTAATTTAAAAAAAAGATTTCGTTCAATGCAAAACATTCATGAAGACCAGTTTTGAATTAGACCACAATAACTACGTGAACATAAGTCGACTCAAACGAGGAAATAACATGGTATTTAATGCTAACACAAATTTACAAATTTAAAAGTATAAAAAACGAAGATTCAATCTTTCAAAAAATATAAAATGCAATCAATTTTATTCCACCTAATATTCCTTCTTACTAATTTCTTAAAAATTCATTTACCTATTTATTGAGAATGGAGATTTTTTGAATTGGATTGTCTGATTGCTCTCCCATCGGACCATGAGTGTGAGGAAATTGAAAAAGCACCTGTTCTTACGCATGTACACGAGTGTATTGTTGCTAATGCATGAGTGTGTTCGTGCAATATAGTTCACTTCTGCTGAAATTCGGTATGTGGGACATCATTACTATTAATAACCGATTTAGATAACTATAGACATAAGTAGTTTCGTGAACTGTAAGTACACACTAAGATTAAATCTATTTTGTATTTTCTGACAGGCATCAAATAGAGTAATACGTGTACAGGTCATACAGATTACGAAAACACGACTACATCACAGAGTTCAGTAGGTATCGAACTTGGAGGAGGATCTCTGCTATCCTTTAAAATAATAGCATAGTTAAGATCGTAAGTGATCTGATGACTAATAATACGTACGCAAATAGGCTTGATAATCTTGTATGGCAAACATTATCACGATAGTGCCTAATATCTTGCTGGCCATTGAAGTTATTCCTAATATTGAATCGTGAGCTTTTAGTTTCTTGCTAAAAATGCATATTGCAAATATTGTACCTGAAACGAATAAAAACATCAATAAAAACTGAATTTAACTGGAGATATATTACCGGTTTAACCACGCTTTATCCTTTTATGGCAGCAATATGAATTTGTCGGCCTCAATGCGATATGCTTTCTTTAAAAAATCACAATACTTTACTTGGTGCAAAACCGATTGAAGGCAGAAATACCTGATACACTTACAATCAGATAGGAAACAAAATAGGAAAGATAGGTTTACAATATATCGAATGAGATGTTTCATTCTGTTCGAAACTACATTCGTTTTATTTTTTATTTGCTTTTGTTGGCACATTTTCATGAAAAAATTTTGTTTTAAATGTTTTATTCTTAATAATTGAAATTATGTACACATACATAACAATTCACTTGATTTTTTTTAAATATTTTTGTCACTTTATTTAATAAAATTGAAGTCATAATACAATATTTTATATGAAGTTAGGTTTTAAGCATATAGCATTATGTGGTATCTTTTTATTAAGACAAAAGACGATTTTATATTACCATATATTCAGCTACTATTTTATATTATTTTTATTTCTGTGTCCTGCAATTTATTAATGATACAATAAATTAATGTTTTTTTATGTTGTTATAATGATTTCTCAATAATTTTGTGTATACGATAAAATTAACATCGTATTAACGTAATCTTTAAATAGCATTTTTCGAGGTATGTACAAGCAATACAACCATTAATGATGTAACTATCTAAACTTGTGTTATTGAAAAACTATTTAAAACTATAATTAGGTGCATAAATTTTACCTGTGTTCATATTCATATATAATAACTAGCTTGCTAGGTAGACGTTGTTCTGCCCTTTTCGACCCTTTGTCATGTCCTATTAAAAATCCATAAATTTGCAAAAAAAAATTGTGGGTCACTCATGGGCAAAAAAACTACCCTATGTCTCAAGTTGGACCAAACTGCACACGGTGTACAAATTCGATTAAAATCGGTTAATTAGTTTAGGAGTCCATCGCGAACAAACAATGTGACACGTAATTTGTATATATATATATATATATATATATATATATATATATATATATATATATATATATATTAAGATAACATATAATTATTGTGTTAAAATTAGGTATAACCATAGTTCGATTTAATCGCAAACGTTTCCTTAAAGTACGCAATTTGAAATCAAAAACAAAGCTGTCACAAATCACTTGCGCTGCCGTGAATGCAATTTACATTTTGATCTGTCTGTTGTCATGTTAACGAAAATGATTACGTTGATGATTACGTTGCTTTACATAGACTTCTTTGTTCTCTATTTAAAAGCAAAAAGTAAGAGCCATATTAAGTGGCGAACGCCTGAGGGTTTTAGGGCAAGGAGTTGTCCGCCGCGCTGCCCCAATGCATGTTGGCAAACTTCACATGTCCTCGATTTTTTTCCATACTCCTCAGACATGCAAGTTTCTTCACGACGTTTTCCTTCACCGCCTTCCTTCAGCTTGTGGTAAATCAGCACTTAAAATTGCAATTAACAATTTCATTGGTGCCGGCGGGGATTGAACCCGGGTTACTCGCGTTCTGTTATATTTACAGCGAGCGTTAACCATCTGAGCTACCACGGCTCACGTTCTTTATATCTTAATTTGAGATGTAACAATTTTCAGTTTATAAAGAGTTCAACTACAAAACTTGTGTTTTATTTTAGGATTCCCTCTATGTTAGTAATAACACTAAGGAAAAATTGCAATCGAAAGACTGACAACCAATAATTCGTTTTATTTAATCAGCCATAAAAATGTATTCATTAGATCGTTGTTAGATTAATTGAGGAATAAAAAATTCGATTCATGCGCTAGAATCTCAAAGAGCGATATCAACCCAAGAGCATAGCGCTAGAAGAAACAAGATACGCCTAAAATATATAGGCTACATAATGATTTCTTATATTTACGTGAACACTACACATTTAAATAATACTAGTTTTTACGGATTATATCGCGTATATATAACTTTTTAAATACCCGACGTTTCGAGCACTTTACAGCACCCATGGTCACGGGGGTGGCGAGATGTGACCATGGGTGCTGTAAAGTGCTCGAAACGTCGGGTATTTAAAAAGTTAAATATACGCGATAAAATCCGTAAAAACTAGTATTATTTAAATATATAGACTACAGCATACTGTCAATGGTAAATTTCGCCCGCGAAAATTTAGATTTAAGCCCGCGGCGCGTGCGCCAACACAGCCAATAGTAAGTGCGCATAGCGGCGCGCCCTTTACTGATAATTGTAATCCATCGAAAATGACCCACCTTTCGCCCATACAACCACGTGATTTGCGATCATCTCCCGCCAAATCTGTGAACTTTACCGCCTCCATAGCAGACAGGTATCCACAAAAACTGCAGTCTCATGAGTTGTGAAATGAAGTCACAGACGGGTAAATAAATATCGCTTTTTGAGCTTTTAGCATTAGTTTTACATAAAAAAATCGTTATAACATAATATGCTTACTCACCAATGGAGTGTAGGATGAGACTATAAGTCGAGTATATGCTATATTTTATTTCGTCCCAATTAAAGCGAAACCGTAAAAATATATAAATAATGCTAATTTCACCTAAAAAAAAAATAAGCAACGTGATAAGAATTAATCGTGGAAGCTTCCATTACTGCTGCTCTGCTAACCGTCACTTCCTTTTCAATATACGTTTCAGTAGAAAGTTCGGCAGTATTGTGGAGGCTTTTTAACAACAATTAAGTCTAGAATTTATAAATAGACAACTTAAGAAACGAGTTTACTTCTGTTTAAAAGACCGTCAAATCACTTGCGTTTTATTTTAGTATTCGTTTTATTTAAGTATAGAAAATATATTGACACTATAATATCTAAGCCAACAACCTATAGGTACGATATTACCAGGAAAACTTGATGAGACTAGTGATCAGTGTGCTATGATTGAAAAAATAAATATGAACCTTGAGTCAATTGCCCGTTGGTCTGCATGAAACAATTTAGTTATAAACCCTGCAGAGTCTAAATTTGTGATAATTGGTTCAAAGGCGCAATTTGCAAATACCTAGGCTGCACTAAAAGTATCGGGAATGGAATATTTCCACTGTTCCTGTCATATTAAAATCTTTTTAATTGAAAACTCCTTGGTTTTAAAAATCGAATACCATTTATTTATTTATAAAAAAAACTCTCGGTCTTGTCACAAGGTTTTGTCAAACTTGTTTAGTCGTTGAGAAAATGGAATTGACTCGACAAAATTCAAGAGCGATGACTTGTTATGACTTTCGAAGTGGTTTGACACAAAAACAGTGTGTTAACCAGATGATTTCTGCATTTGGTGATGAAGCCCCATCCAAAACCACAATTTATCGCTGGTTTGCTGAATTTCAACGTGGACGTGTCAAGCTCAGTGATGATCCCCGTCAAGGGCGTACAAAAACTGCAGTCATCCAAGAAAACGTTGATGCTGTGCGTAAGCTGATTGAGGAAGATCGACATGACATGACCGCGAAATTCAGGCAACTTTAGACATTGGCATGAGTCAAATACAAATAATCTTGCATGAAAAATTAGGTGTAAAAAAGTTGCTTTCCCGATGGATACCGCATTCGCTCTGTGAAGAGCAAAAAGCGGCTCGCGTTACTTGGTGCGTCAGAACTCTCGAAGGATTCCACGCTGGATCCTCAAATACTGTATACAACATCGTATCAGGTGACGAATCCTGGATATACGCGTAAGCCATACACCATGCCATGCACCATACTTCTTAGTTTAAAATTTCCACTTGTACAACTTGTTTAGTATCTTCAGTCACTCAGTCAGTCTTTGATCGGAATACATCCACTTGAAAGATATTATCGGATCTATCAGTGGTATAAGACATGAATGATTTCAACGTTTTTAACATTAAAAATAGAAATAAAATAAGTACCCGATCTCTCGGAAAGAGTACAATGTAATGTAATGTCGTGTTTAGAGATAATCTATACATATAGTAAATCCGTAGAAAAGTCATGTCTGTAGTCTAATAATTTCTGGAAAAAATAAGCCTAGCGTACTAAATTAAGTGTTCAACATCCTTAATTTAGTACGCTAGGCTTTAATAGATTTAAGATTATTTGTCTGTCTGCCTCGTGTGTCTGTTAGTGTATTGACCACCTACGCAAAAAATGTTTTAGAAGAAGTATTGTATGTAAGTAATAGTATGTAGTATTGTATGTAAGTAATAGTATCCAACTACAAAAATTCTAAAAGTGGAGGATATATATTTTCCCTTCCTTAAATCTTTATTTTTTAGTCTTAAAGGATTCGCGTTCTTATAAACGTCGAAAAATGGCTTACAGTTTTCATCTGTGGGCACAGGAGTGCCCCCGCCAAGTGGAGCGGCACGGCCGTACCATCCTTTTCTCGAAGCAGTTTAGGCCATATTCAAACGCTCTATAACTTCTTTGTGGATAAAACTAAAAGCCTGAACTTTAAGTAACCAAGCAGTTTTTTTTGCAATTTGAACCGGTAACTGGTGAAAGTTTCTTAAATTTGACACTCACTCACTGACCGATCATCAAAACTCTAAAGATTTTCTAGTAGACATAGAAGCTTCCCAATTTAGAATGAAATTAGTGTTTAGTGTATAAATCAAGGAAATACTAAAATATTTAGCAATTTCAGTTCAGTTTTTTAGATACACTAACTGCATAAATAACTTTGTAATCCCATTTAAATACATAGGACTACAAAGTTACATTTTCAGTTAATGAATCAGTGTACTATTATAATGGAATGATAGGTGTAGATAGGTACGTTGTTGGTATTCAAGAAGTAGAAGGTACCGGAAAGGAAAAAAGAAGGAGTGTCAACAAAAATATATGAGATGTCACCAAAACGAACGTCACAACTCAGTTTATCTACCGTAAAAAGTTGTGAGATCCATGTAATACCAATTCGGTTAATTTATTCAGTCCCTACATAAGGGTCCTTCTGTCTTAAGTTATAACATAATTAGCTAACCTAACAACAACTTATTGTGACCATATCAATATTCAAATTCCTTTATATTTTGAATAAAAAGATTGAATTGGTAATCGCACTAAACAATCTAATTTAATATATTATGTATTACTTGTGAGATACATTGTGTTTTCATTCGTTGGCCTAAGTCAATATATTTATTCAAAACATAAAGGATTTTAATGCTCATATGGTTACAATAACATGTTGTTAGGTTAGCTAATTACTTAATAATTTAAGACAGAAGGACCCATAATTAGGGAAAGAATAAATTAACCGATTTGGTATTACGTGGAACTTTTCACGGTAGAACAACTGCGTTGCGCGACCTGTTTTTTATAAGTTATGTTTTTGATAACACCTAAATATTACATGGTAAATAAACGGGTAAATAACATAATACTATAAATTTCTTACCCGGGCAGCATAATTATATCAAACACTCTCAGTTATTGCGTTACTCTACCGTAATCGCCACAACTTGCGTAATAACTATCAGTAAAATGTAGCACAGGTAGATATTGTTGTATTGGATGCTTAACAACAACTCATATTGTTCTGAGATAAAATGCGAATAGAAATTTGTACATCTGACGAGTATATGCCAATTAATAAAATCTAAAAAATGTATCTGAAAATATTATTGTCATGATTTATTTCTTAATTCTAATAAAAGAACTTTGTTTTAAATTCCACGCGATATTTAAAATCAGTAAAATCTTTTAGCTGATCTTCTTTATCTTATTTTCATCTTATTAGCTTATCTTCTTTATATTCTTATTATATGAAAAAGTATATTGAGAAAACTATTATTATGTGTACTAATTTCAAAAAGGATTTCACGAAAACTTACAAAGAGTTATTAATACGTATAATAATTTAATCATCAATTAGCCTCTCGTCAGTCCAAAACCTTCTAAAGGTTGCTGTCAAAAAGTACGCATCTGTCCACAACCATCAGAAGGTTGCTGGTTACTTATAAACTTCAGATTCGAAACAGCCCTAGTAAAAGTATACGTATCTCCCTATAACTGGTACAACATGCAGAGAATTAAACAAAGACGGCAATTAATATCACACACGCTTCATAAACCAACCATAGAAGCTGTGAAATAGTAATACATTTATTCCGTTCAGTTGCTCGTTCTGTGACGCGGTGTCGTGTGTTTACGTGCAAAGTATTAATTGTTGAAAGTGATTTCGGAAGTCAATATTAAAGATAAACATGAATGGGTAAGTCATGAATACTTTTCTATTAATATAAAATATATTAGATGACGATTTGTACATAAATTGTTCCATTTTATCAAACATTGCTTGCCATTTCGACCGCCATGTTGAAACCATGATCGTATTAACTTCAATTGTTTTAAATTAAAAGTACAATTGTGAATGGTAAACATTGTCTTAATATCGTTAACATACTTATTTACAAACATAACAATAATTACAATTGTATAGTTTCGATTAAATATTTCATAAAACTAAAAATAACAAATTGCTTAAATCTCTCGTCCACCTGGCGGTTGTGGACAGACATGGGTCGTAAAGTTATTCACATGAAATCCGCCATCTTAGAGAGCAGGTTGTATAGTATGGATACGACTTTGGGAATGCCAGTGTTGGTATATTTTTACGATAATTTTTGGTGTGGATTTTTATTTGTTTCGTTTTATTTTTTTGTCAATAAATTGTTTTACTTTTTGTATGTGCATGTCATTATATTTTTTGCACTTGATTGACAAGTGAAACACTCTTTATTTTCACTCTTAGCCCAAGGTTATCTGGAAGAGATTGCTTTTTGTACGTAGTAGTTTTTATTGCTAAGCAATAATCCTTAGCTCGTTGCGGTGCTATAGTTGGAATAGCCTCAAAGTACGAAACGGTCACCCATCCAGTTGCAAGCTAACGCGTGCATTGCTTAAACTTTATTATGGATCTCGCACGCAAGCTATCACTAGGCTAGGGTCACTTCAAATTAAGTAAAATTAAAAAAAAATCTAAATAACAAAAATATAAATCTTTATTTTGGCAAAAAGAATTGTCAAACATTTTTTATAATAACATTCAAATGTTAATTAAAAATATAAAAAGCAAAGAAAAATAACTAATTTGTATTTCATTTTAATTTTATGTTCATGATTACAATTATTAAAGAAGTCACCACAGAAAGTATCCATACTAACTAGCATAGCTGGGTACTACGTCATACTTGGTGCTTTTTGTAGTGAATGTGTAACTTTTAGTTGATGATTTCCAACATAATTTTGTATAAAAGATGCCTTATTTGTTTTGTTTTTAACTTAGGAAATGTTATTATATTTAGGAATGTACATTCACATGTAAATAAATTACAAAATTGTTCGTTACAAATGCAAGAGTTTGAAAGCATTTTTTTAGGGTCACTTTTTCAAGTGTTTGTTACAACTCGTTCATTTCTTAATAACTGAATAGTTGTAATATTTGAAACTGTTTATATTAAGAACAAAGACCAAACTATAGCATAAGTTAAGATTTATAGCCCATTGTGCCTCAGGTGTCGTCGATATTGAAGTACAAAATGTGCCTTTTTTTGTGCCTGTTTCGGGTCATCTTAAGTGGCCCACATTATTGTAGAGCTTATGGTGTGAAAAAACTGTACGTAGAGTTGTGTTTTTTTTATTCATTATTGTAAAGTGTGTTATCGTATAGTAAATGAAGTAAATATTTATTGAAATAATTGCTTAATTTTTTAATGATTACATTTTATATTCAACAAACTAGAAAAAAATCGCTTCTAGCAATTTTACCACCAAATTTATAACATACCAAAAGGGTGAACGTACACATTTACACATATTCTATTAGCTTATTTAACAATAATTCTAACAACATATCATATTATATAGTTCCCATACATAAATATAAAATATTGCCATTTTAATGACACGCGCCACGTAGGCAATATAACACTCGTTTAGGGTTTGACAGATGCGCCAAAGCGGCTATTTTGGCCCGGACTGCTGAGAGGATAAACGTTGAAACGTTGTAATGACGATAAAAAGGTATCAATATTTGGTAAGAAATTGGATCATCGCATCATACCGCAGCGAAAGGAAGAATTGTTAAGAACTGTTATGACGGTGTTCAGCTACGAGCCAAGAATTGAGAAATCCACGACGTGAATATGTTGGCACCACGTTTGCTTCTCTATCGCATAAATAAATGGGGTTCTTTCCTCTTGACGCACCAAGTGGTATGGAAAAACATTCGTGCTAAACTTACTGCTGGCCCAACATTGCAAGAACCGCAATATAGCTTTAGCTATATTGGTACATAAAAGTTAGGTATTAGATAAACTGAAACTCCAGTTTCCATCTCCAGCTGCGAAAGCACGCCCGTTAATCCAAAGTAGTTGAAAAGCCCGACCTAGTAGGCAGTACGGTCACCACCGATAACAGTATCAAGCGATGAGTATTGTAATCTTTGATTCACCGAATTTCACGTGTAACAATTATTTGTTTATTTTACAAACTTATTCATTTTAATGGTGACAGTACCAACCTCTCATAGAATGATTCTTTATTATGGATATTCTTCGTTAAGCTTGGGACAACGTATGTAAAAAGTTCGTGTTCTCGCCACCATACACATAGTACATCCAAAAATAAAATTTTGCTATCTGCATCCGTTTCCAGTCGACCCTTTCCTATTTGTAGCTGGTTACTTGCTTATGCACATGACTCTTTGTCATTATAATGTTGTCGCTGCAAGTTGCACGTTACACCTTGAGACATACAATTATTTTATTCAGCCCTATACCTTTCTGCAACATTACTTTAACGTTAGACTCGCTAAATCGTTAAATCGTTAAAAATCGCTAAATCGTAAATTGAAAGAATCGCTAACATCCACATCAGAAAATCTAGCGGCTGCGGCTTTTTCTTCATCATCATCATTACAGCCTTTCACAAGTTCACTGCTGACCATAGGCCTCCCCCAAGTAATGCCACAAAGCACGGTCCTGAGCCACCTGCATCTATCGACTTCCTGCATGTCTTACCAGGTCGTCACTCCATCTAGTGGGGGGTCGCCCTACACTACGCCTACCGGTACGAGGCTGCCACTCGAGAACCTTTCTTCCCCATCGGTTATCAGTTCTTCGAGCTATATGTCCGGTCCATTGCCACTTCAGCTTACTAATCCGTTGGGCTATGTCGGTCACTCTGGTTTTACTGCGGATATCCTCATTTCTGAGTATATCACGTAGAGAAACTCCGAGCATAGCCCTCTCCATAGCTCGCTGAGCGACCTTGAGCGTCCTCATACGGCCAGCAGTGAAGGATCACGTCCCAGATCCGTAAGTCATCACTGGCAACACGCACTGGTTGTACACTTTAGTTTTCAGAGATTGAGGTACACCTGACGAGAAGATGTGTCGTAAGTACCCGAACGCTGCCCAGCCGAGTTGAATCCGTCGATTGACCTCTCGGTCGAAGTTGGACTTACCTAGTTGGACTATTTGTCCCAGGTAAACGTACTCGTCAACAACTTCGAGCATAATGCTCCCAACAACTACCGGCATAGGTGTGACATGGACATTAAACATGATCTTTGTTTTGTCCATGTTCATCTTAAGACTTATCCGTTGGAGACACCATTGAGGTCATTGAGCATAGTGCTAAGGTCCTCCAGTGATTCTGCCATAAGGACTATAACGTCGGCAAATCGAAGGTGAGTGATGTACTCGCCATTGATGTTAATACCGTATCCTTTCCAGTCCAGTAGCTTGAAAACGTCTTCCAACGCAGCGGCTTTTTCTTGCTGATGTGCAAATTGATCTTATGAGATGAGTACACGATGTTGCACAAGCGCTCAAGCTTAGACCACAGCCAACAGAATATCTCCAACAACCAGTCTCTGATGGGCGGTATTTTTGCTATGCTTACAAGTGATTATAGACAGGCATAGTTATATAGAAAGGCATAACGGTGGATGAAATAAATTCATGTCTCCCGGTGTCACCACCGTGATCCAGAGTGCAGGTACCTCTTACGTGCGACTTGCGTGGGCGAATTTATAATGACAAAGAATCTGTTGGATATGCAAGTAAGCAGCTACAAACAGGAAAGAGTCGACTGGAAACGGATGTAGATAGAAAATTTTTATTTTTGGATGTACTTTGTGTATGGTGGCGAGAACACGAAAATTTTACACACGTTGTCCCATGCTTAATGAAGAAAATCCATAAGGAAGACTCGTTCTATGTGAGGCCGGTGCTGTCCCCAATTAAAATGAATTTTTCTGTTTATAAAATAAACAAATAATTATTACACGTGAAATTCAACGAATCAAAGATTACAATACTCATCGCTAGATACTGTTATACCATCAGTGGCGACCGTACTGCCTACTATTTCTGGATTTTCCACCACTTTGGATTAACGGG